TGCAGTATTTTGATTAGTTTTAAAAAAAAATTTCAGAACGAAAAGTATGTCTGGATTGATGATCTGGTCCGGAAAATTTACTTAGTTGGATAAAATGATAAGAATCTCAGTACCACTGGACAATCGCTGTAGGTATCCCGTGTTAGTAATGTTACTAGGATGCTCCCCACGCTGGCTGCGGCTCTAAATGACCTTCAGATTTAATCTTGAATGCACCTCCGGTTGGTACCAAACAACGTCTATTTGATTGTGTCTGTGCCATTTGTTGTTCAGAATTTGAAAAATGTGATTTTCAGGTGCACGAGTTACGTCGTTTGTTGGTAACGCTGTATGTAAAGAGCATCATATTTTATGCTGTTACGTCGCCAAAGTTTCCTGAATGGTTGCGGTCACCGAACATTGTGTGTCTTTGCTATTTCATTTCGATACGTTTGGCCTTGGCTAACTCACTGGAAGATTGTTCCTCTTTGGGGTTTAGCACTTCAAATTTTCCAGGAAACCATGGTTTTCTGATAATGATTCGGGATGGGGCGTGGGTAGGGAAGAGCGGGAAGGAAAGGAGTTATCTTGTATGGTGTTCAGCAAACTTTCTTCGTGCACCACAAAAAATATGACAAAATATTGGGGGAAATTTTTCCAGAATTCAGAACTGATGGGATGTGATGAACTCGTTTTTAATTGTTTTTTTTTTTTTTTTTTCAGCTTAATGCTTTACGCCCAATTGAAACAAATAGCCGTTATGTTGATTTGGATCCTATGTTTAGTGCAGCAAACGATGAGGACTTCGATATCAATTTAATGGTACTTAGATTCGTTTGCTCTTCGCGGTCTCGTTTTCCAGCTTTTCCAATTGCTTTGACTAGTGTTGTATTGCTTGACATTTGTTTCGTCCTTTGAAAGGATTATTAGTTCAACGGCCTTTCCGAAAAAGTACATGGCAAGGTTTTCAGCCGTTTCAAAAAATCCACGATGTGCAAAATGCCATCATTTCATCCTGAACGCTGTTTGCCGTGAACAGAGCTCTTTCTCTAAGACTGTCCTGGACCGATAGGGAATCGAACCACTTCTTTTCACGTCCGGACGCAGTGTGTTACCACTACACCATCGTTCAGCCTGGCAGCACATCTATTGTGTATCTGCCTTTCAAGACAAGATACAGTTTTTCTTCTCTTCGTTATGACAGCTTCTTGGCCGGCTTTTCGCGGATTTTCTGCAACACTGCTACTTCGGGGGCACACTGAGGCACATTGCGAACTGGGCGATTAACCTGATGGCACTTGGTTTTCTTGTAAAGTTAGTATTTAGTTTACCATTACTGCCTAAACTGTCGCTGGAGAATGCCGCTTTTACTATTAAATGTCATCGAACATTTGTACCGC